TAAAAAAAACCGCATCAAAATCCGTTGCGTAGTTTTAAAGATCTAAGCATACATACGGACATACAGCGAAAGCGACTTTGTTTTATACTATGTATTGATATAAAAGATCGATATATAGAACAAAAAATATATTATTTACTTACGAGGATATTAGTCGGTCATCAGGCCCATCGACTCCCCAAACAATTTGTCTTGATGCCATTAGATCTGATTCCACCATTTTATTGGAATCTTGTTCATTATAATTCAATACATTGGCTTCTTGCTCTAGATTGCTGTTCACTCCTGCTGCTATTGCCACCAACATCAACAATACTGCTAGGATCTTCATCTGTAATCACAATAGTTATTACAAAATTATTTTTCTTTGTTTGTATTATTTTAATTTTAGACGTGTCATGTTACTTAAATATGGGAGTACAATGGACGTAATACCACGACCTCACAAAAAACCGATATAGAACAACTTTTTTTTAAGGTGGGAATATCATCGAATGACTTCTCCCGCCTGGGTGAGGCGGGAGGGATTGTCTTACTGACTAAAAACCATCCCGTTCCTACTCCTGCACTTCGAGCCGGAGCCCCGATAACCCGTTAAGTTCTCCGCGGCTCCGTATCGGCATCAGCCTTATTGGGCCCCATCTGTGGTGGTCTGATGGCTCTTTGAAGCGCGCGCGGAACGCGACGCGCCGTACGCTCGGGTCTAGTTCTGGTCGGGCGACGAGCTACCCATGCTCGCCGTCCGCAGGCCCGTACGTATGGAACAACCTAGGCTTTCTTTTCCGCCCTCTTAGTGAGGTTATTAGAGACACAATCGATTATGATGGTGATGATGACGCAGGTGGAAGATCTTACTTTATGAGATAAGCCAGCAAATAAGCAGATGGATCACGTGATGTTAAGTAATTGACGTCGCCCATGGACACCTGGAACACCAGAGGCGTTGCAAGTGCGTTACCGGCCTTTTGGGGATTAGGAATTTAAGGATTGTTTAGGATTCAGAGATTGAGGAGATAGGGGAGGGGGGTTGCGGGATTGGGCCTCCGGTAACCTCCCTCACACGAAGAAACACAGCGCATGCGCAGTATCACGTCGCTTGTCTATGGGGCCGTGGTATCACTGCGGTCGAGCCGGCCCATTCGTACCAAAAAATCTCTCCCTGACTTAACCTTCGGAGATTAGGGATTTAAGGATTATGAATTGAGGATTAGGAGATTGTACATAGTTCAATATCGAAATTCCTAATTTTAAGTTACCTTATTTTGAAGTATTGCAGGCTTCTGACTGAACTAGTAAGTTTGTTAAATTGTAGAAGGTTGACAGTATTTATAGTAATATACGAAATTCCAATCAGAAGATTCCAATCTTATTATAAAGAACTACTCCGTGGTTAAGTAAGTAGACAACAGTTTACGGTCGCATTCAAAAGTTTAATTAATGTGAAATTTCTTTGAAGATGTTAATCTTTTGACGGATAAAGAAGTACCTATGTCGTCGGAGTTGTTTGTAAAGAACAGTGACGTTGTCTTTTCAATTTATTTCAGCCAGTGCCTGTTTCATCACCTATTATGTCTATTAATAGTCTCTTATGCCGGCGGCTTCGTCTGCGTGCGTCATGATAGTAGTTACTTCATAGACTATTATTTCCCCCTGTTCCAACTACATCAACCCAACATCAACAAACATACAAACTTTTTTATCGAATAAACCAGAAAATAAGCAGACACCCGGTATACTAGAACGATAAGTGCATTGCCGGCTTTTTGGGGATTAGGAATTTGAGGATTATCGGGATCGGCGATTGTCAGATTGAACAGAGGGTAATTGGGCTGCCGGGCCGGACTTATATTATAAACTTTGGCTTTATAATATAAGTCATTATGAGTCATAACCATTTATGGGTTTTTTAAGGGGGAAAAATCATCGAGTGACTTCTCCCGCCTGAGTAAGGTGGGAGGGAGTATCAGGGTACCCGAGCGATAAGCAGAGGTGCACATTACGGCACTTAATGCCACTGTACAATGTAACACTCACTTTTCACTATTTATGTTATGAGTCCCATGTAATAGTGGATGAGCCTATTGCCATATACTGGCCACAATTCCAGACTCGGTGCCACTACTGAGATTGTTTTTTAAAACCCAGTAATACTTTGCCCGATTGCGGAATCGAACATATATGTACGGTACATATATAATGTACTGACACACTTGTTTATACATGTATGTAGGTAGGTATACTGTATTATGTTTTATGATACCTAATACCTATAGATGTTTATTGTTGATTAAGTAACAATACAATTTACTTTCACTGTTGGTTATTATTATCTCAATAAATAATATGATTATGATACAATCGTTATATCTAAGAGATTGGTATCAGATTCTAATCTTTGCGTATAAATATTTGAGGAAAGCGTATGGATTTACTAAAGGTTCAGAGAAGTTCAATTCAGAGATACAACATTTCAGAGTTTGGAGATCAAGCAGCTAAGGTACCGTACAAATTAATTTATTAAATACCTTTATGATTAAACTTAAATTATATTATAAACATATATAACTTAAAACTAAAATATGTGCAACTTAAAAAAAATATATATCAGCTTAACGCATTAAAGAAATTATCCTCATCATTGTCATGAGGTAAGGTGCCCAAAGGCTGGCAGCATTGCCACGTTGGATGGCAGTGCTTAACTTTTGTCGCGGAGAACCTAACGGGTTACCGGAACGGGGTGGTTTTTAGTCTGTAAGAGTCTGACACTCCCTCCGGCCTCACCCAGGCGGGAGAAGCCATTCGATGATTTTCCCCCTTAGAAAAAAAATTATTGACCAAGGTAGTAGCCAGCCTTTCGACCACCTGAAGTGTCAACCATGCTCAGTATGGTTATACAATATCTTTGTAAAGAAGATGTGCACTAGGACAGTTGGAAAAGCGCGCGGCCCTAAAGTTTCAACACCATGAGTTTTTAGTTTTAGTTTCAATTTAGAGGTAGTTTAATCATATACGTATTTTAAATTTGTGAATATTTTTACATGTACTTACACTAGCACTACTAAACATGTATTTATTTAATATATACTAGTCAAAGTACTAGTTCCTATCTAACTTTTTGAATAAAGTTTCATCCTAAAGGCGCTTTCGTCAATTGACGAATGTAAGACGAATGCTTGCATCTTGTGTGTAAACAGTCAAAACTCTATCCACGTTGCGGCAACGTAGCGTCAACCTGCAAGACTGCACGGTTGGTGCGGTGGCTGGGCAACCGGCTGCCGTGCAACGTGTCGCGGGTTCGATTCCCGCACGGAACAACACTTTGTGTGATCCACAAATTGTTGTTTCGGGTCTGGGTGTCATTGTGTATGTGAACTTGTATGTTTGTAAACGCACCCACGACACAGGAGAAAATCCTAGAGTGGGGCAACGTTTTTTAAAAAAAGAAAAAAAAAAAAAAAAAAACCGCACGTTATGTGTACCTATACTCGGAATTTTAATTCGATTCCAGATTTGACCATTTCAGTGTTGCAACGTTATGACAAGTACTAAGTAGTGACGTTGCGAAATTATTCGATATGGAAATGCAATATTTCTGGATCGATTCTTCTCGTTTATAATTTTACTCTCGTAAACTAAGTATAACAGGAAATTAAATATTTCTGAACCGATAATTTAGTTTTGACGATTAATTAACGATCTGAGACTTTTTTTTTATAATTCTGTGTGAAATAAATAAAAAAATGTAATCATGAAGGAACATGACAAATAAAACAGATAGATGTATTATGGTAATAAGTTGTTTTATAAATTGTCGCCGTCATCGCTATCGCTATCCTGTCACTTTCTGTAACATTTATTATAAAACACTACACTATTATATGTGGTATCATTATTTTCCAAAATGACAGTAGCTATTGTCAAATCTGGAATCTAATTAAAATTCTGACTATAATAACATAAACTTGCCCGTGACATTTGATGGATGCATGTGTTCGTCAAATGACACAACGTCAAATGACAAGCGATCGACGCTTTTATGGTGATGGGCGCTCTGATCGGCCTCCTTGAGTACGAGCATAATTATATAGCAGGCATTTGGTAGATCTATGCCGTCCTTCTTTCAAAAATTCATTCAAAATTAATACTTTCTCACCAGATTTTTTTTTTTATGTTGCCACTCATTACGATTTTCTCCTGTGTCGTGAGTGCGTTTTTGTAAACGCACTGTATGTGAACTTGTATGTTTGTACATACAAGTTCACATAAACATGACACCCAGACCCGGAACAACAATTTGTGGATCACACAAAGTGTTGTTCCGTGCGGGAATCGAAACCGCGACACGTTGCACGGTTGCCCAGCCACCGCACGAACCGTCAGTCAAATAATAGATTTTTGTTTTACTCGGTCACTACGCCGTAGTACGGCGGCCGTACGCCATCGCAAAAAGAACTGAAGACCGCTCTGGTACACCGGAATGGCCCCATTCACGCTACCAATTTTCGGTCTACCTGCGCAGGCATACCTGCACAGATCAACGGTAGACCGTAACGTGTTTCAAAGTCAAAGTCAAAGTCAAAGCATTTATTTTAATTAAACCATAGTTTGGTACTTTTGAAACGTCAACAAATACAAAATAAATAATAGTCTGTCAGTCAGTCCGTCAGTGAAGCTAGGTGAAGCTAGGTGCTCATTCCAAAACGTAGATTCGAATGGAGAAGAACGAGCAAGAAACTCCATTCGTTACTCTTTTAAAAAAGTATGTTCTACAATGTCTCTGATACATATTTCAATACTGTACGCATATGTAAGAACAATGCAAAGACACGCTTGACGCATTATACTACTAACTTACTAAAATAAAAATAAAAATAATAAAGATCTTAAGTCCAACATGGTGCTCACATATGCATACTGACAATCCATAGAAATAGTGCTTCTATACAAGAAAAAGGAAACTCTTTGTTTCAATAAAGAAAGAAATGCTCGATGCCATAAGGAAACTAGATTGTCTACATTAGAATTAAAGTATTAAATTATGTATTATATTACCTACTATTGGAATTTAACTACTGACTACATTTGAGTATTGTCCAGTGGAGCCGAACCAACATGCTGCCAAGCATTCTTATCTTCAAGATAATCTGTCAGTGTGTAGTAAGCTTGATTACATAATTCGCGCTTAATATATGTTTTAAATTTACTTTCATTGAGATCTAGTATGCTATTTGGTATTTTATTATAGCATTTAATACCTAACCCCATAAAGGATTTCTGTACTTTGGACAGTCTGAATTGCGGTATAGCTAACTTATTTTTGCCTCTAGTATTAAAATTGTGTCTATCGCTTCTTTTTTCAAACAATTGCCTATTTTTCCTTACATACATTATATTTTCATATATATATTGACAGGGCACCGTTAAAATATTTATCGTTTTAAACAATTCTCTCAACGATTCGCAACGGCGTAAGTTATATATTGCTCGGATAGCCCGCTTTTGCAGAATAAATATTGATTCTATTTCTGCAGCTCGACCCCACAACAAAATGCCGTACGACATAATGCTGTGGAAATAACTAAAATAGACAAGCCTAGCTGTATCCACGTCCGTGAGCTGTCTAATCTGTCTAACTGCAAAAGCAGCTGAGCTCAATCTCCCCGAAAGCGCCTTTATATGCGGACCCCATTGTAGCCTATTGTCTAACGTAATGCCTAAAAATACTGTCTCGTCGACAAATTCTAACTTTTGACCGTTCAAAACAATATCACAATCGTTACTACGCACGTTTGGTAAACTGAATTTAATACATTTTGTTTTTTTTTCATTAAGTGCTAGATTATTAATGGTAAACCAATTATGCACTTGAAGAATGGAGCTGTTTACGTCGTCAAGATTATTTGTACGTCGATCTACTTTAAAAATTAATGATGTATCATCTGCAAAAAGCACCATTCTTGGTTCATTTTTAAATATAAATGGCAAATCATTTATATAGACTAAAAAGAGAAAGGGACCCAATATTGAACCTTGAGGAACGCCCATATTCATCCCAGAGCCCTGTGAGTTAATACCGTTAACATGAACCTTTAACTGTCTTTCTTCTAAATAAGATTTCATAAGACGGAGCGCAGAGTTTCTTATCCCGTAATGATCTAATTTCAGCAAAAGTGTTTCGTGGTCAACGCAATCAAATGCTTTTGAGAGGTCACAAAATACACCAATAGCATCCTGTGCTTCCTCCCAAGCACCAAATATTTCCTTAATCAAAGTGACACCGGCGTCAGTTGTGCAACGACCTTTAGTGAAACCGTATTGTTGTTGGTGAAAGATGGAATGTTTATTAAAATGATGAAGCATCCGAGACAGCATCAACTTTTCAAAGACTTTGCTGAGAACCGGTAAAACAGACACTGGCCTATAGTTGTTAGGTTCTTTAGTGTCACCACTTTTAAATAGTGGGATAACCTTACTATATTTCATTAGGTCAGGGAAAACACCGTCATCTATACATTTATTGAAAATCACAGCCAGATATGGCACTACGGTTTGGATAAGTGACTTGCAAACCATGTTGTTTGGTTTACATTTTTAAATTAAACTGTCAAACACCAAGCGGTCACCGGTGACCGCAACCTATTGTTCTATAATTGTCTCTACAAAACCGGTACTCGACGAGTTAATCATTCGACTTCGATTTTTATGCTGCTTTTATTATTCTGTTTCAGATGAAAGGCTTTTTATTAATTATATTGCTAGCAGTTACCTATGGGTATGCAACTGTAGATGGCGAAGACCTCCCTGAAGCTCCGTTAGGTGGACCAGAAGGAATAAGTACTCTTAGCGGATCCTTATCCCTAGGTGACACGAATGGTAGAATGTTGTCTAGGTAAGTCCGATCTTTATAATTTAACAGTTTTATTTATGTCTCAAATATGATGTGCGTATAATTAAATTGTAACACTAATCAGCATTATCATCATCATCATCAGCCTATTAGTGCTCACAGCTGCGCATCAGCTTCTTCATATAAAAAAAGAACCCATAAGCATTGTTCGCCACGCTTACTTTTTTTTACACTAGCATTTTCTCCTGTGTTGTGGGTGCGTTTATAAACATACAAGTTCACATACACATGACACCCAGACCCGGAACAACAATATGTGGATCCACAGATACATACCATACCTATGACACGTTGCGTGGCAGTCAGTTGCCCAACTACCACGCCAGTCCAGTACTCAAAGCGGCAATGTCTACCTTATAATTTTAAATAGCTGGCTGCCTCGTTTGCTGTGTGGTCGCAAGTGCGACTGCTGGGCAAGGGGTCTCGGGTCGGGCAAAGTATTACTGGGATTTTATTAAAAATCTCAGTAATAGCACGGAGTCTGGAATTGTGCCCGGTATATAGCAATAGGCTCACCCCCTATTACATGGGACTCATAACATAAATAGTAAAAAGTGGTGTTATATTGTACAGTGGTATTAAGGGCCGTAATGTCCACCTGTACATCTTCGGGGATAAAAGGCTTTCTGATAAGTTGTGATATGTTACAATTTGGAATTATAAACCCAGATTTCCTCACAATGTTTCCCTTGCCAGTGTGTTGAACTTACTTATGAATTTATATTTTTCAGCACTTCTCACACAGTCGGTTCATCAATTAATATAATACACACACAAGAAGTTTTAGTACGGCTGGTTGAGTACGCCAACATTACTGGCATTCGGGTTACTCCCACAAATAACATGAATGCAGTACCGTCCCTCATAAACGGTGGTCTAGGACACAATTACGTCAACCTACGTTTTACTTCTCAGTTAAGCTTGGGTTACGGATACAGAATTATGGTATACGGTTCGTTTGTTTGCTAGTATTAAAGATACTAATCAGTAAATAAAGGCCTCTAAGTAATGAAGAGTTGAATTATTTTCTAAGTTTATCCCATCTGCTGTTTGGAGTCATGCTTCGGTCGGAGCGGTACCGAACGGCCTCACAGAGCACCAGCAGCATCACGCGTGCATTGTATTTCGCCTTGTAAGCGAGGTTACCACAGGCCCGATCCTTTCCCCCTTCCACCAACAGAAGTCCTTAAATCCCTAAACTTGTAACTCCTCTGATGTTATGAGCGTCCATGGGGCGGCGCTTTGCTTACCATCAGGGATCAAATAAAAAAAGAACAAAACAACGAAATACATTTTTTATATCTTTAATACACAAATAATATAGATTATAGAAGATAGAATAGTTTAAGGAGAATACAATATCCGTTCACTTAGTCGAAACTTATTAGCTAACATCAAGACAGGTAAAGACAATCCAATAAATATGTTCATTCTTAATTAAAATTGATATAATATTAATCCGTCGCTCGACAAAGCGAGATACACTCTACCCTGTTGACTCCTAGCTGTTTGAAACACCTTCACATTGTATTTCTGTAAAAGAAAAAAATAACATAATTAGTACAATTTTGACATTACTTAACACACACACACACACATCACCAATGCGATGTGCGCCTCTGGATAATCTTTCATTGTTTATGGTACTGGTAACATTTTTAAAAATGGCTTATTATTATTTTTATTTGAATACAAACTTTAAATTTTAATATATACGAAATAATATAAAAATGAAATGTATGTTTCCGTATAAGAAAACCCCATAAAAGAACAAATAGGCAACTTAGATTTTAGTAGACAAAGAAATATTTCAAAATATTTACCTGAAAAGATTTTTAGCCCTTTTTACGTGGTCGTCTTACATGGTCTTCTGACTCGGTCTTCTGACGTGGTCTACTGACGTCGTCTTCTTACGTATTTCAAATAAACTAAGTATTAAATACAAGAAAAAATCTTTGAGATTCCAATACTAACAATACCTAAAAAGAAAATCTTGCAGATATTTCTAAATTATATTCGTTATCAACCTTTCGATTTTTTATTTTCTTCATTTTATGATTCTAATTTTATTTACAAAAATAGTACTTTCAATCTTTTAATACAACTTTCCGTCTCGCTTTGCCTTCATTCCATATTTGAATTAAATAATTAGACATCGATTTTAATGGAGCTCTAGCCTAATGCGAGTCTTCCATTATTTATATGTAGTCGTATACTTATTATCTTAATAGTAACATTCAAAGCATGTAGGAAAAAATAAATACGTGTGGCATGGCCCAGTATCCTTCCAATATATTCGATGCTACATTTCGTTGACTGTTCCGCCGCATTCTTCTCTCCCTTCTGGGGTCTTTTTGCGGACTTAGGCCATCCATTATAAGTACAATCTTACTACAGGTGTGTGCACCTGTGTTCTATATACAGTATATAGGGCTACGTATACCTACATTACTCATTAAGTATATAATTAAATTCTTTGGGTTTTCCCTGCATCTCCGAATATCGTTTAATTCCAACTAAAGCATTTTTTCTATTAGTCTTATAAAGGTAATGGTGTTTGTACTTTTTCTATTTCAGGTTAAGTAGCCCGGTTCTCCGTTAGCACAACTTATAACGCAGGCATTTATGTAAAAATATTTATTTTAATGAGTTCTGTTAAGGAAATTACCAATGAGTAAAGGTTTTTCGCCCGTCAACTGTATTTGGGATCGCGGGGGACACAATACAACAATAATATACACAATCCCGGGTTTATTCCCGAGTTATATCAATAACATTTTAAGTGGACGCCAATTTATCCGTATTGGACGCGTCGAACGTGTAGAACGAAACGAATTCGAATCCGAAATGCTCGTTCGACGCGTTCGGATCGGATAAATGTGCATTCACCTTTCTTCTTAAGCTACAAGAAACTGATAGTTGGTCTCTAGGACCGAAAGGACTAAGTGGACATCGAAAAGACGCTCATACTGAGCACAGTGAAGTGATAACGGAGAAGTGAACATTATATTCTACATTAGGTTACTATTATTATTATCTATAGACCGTCTTCTCATTCTTCGCTTGATGATCTTACTTCACCTAAAACAGAAAAATTAATAATGCATTAGTAACAGAACTTGAAGCTAATAATTTTTTTTACCAGACTTCTATTTTTAATTCCGTAACTTGACAATGCAAAATAGCTTTTATTTCCAAATTATTGGTGTCAAGTTAGAGAATTAAATAAAAATCTGTTCTAAGATTACATTATACAGGACACCTTGGTTGCACAACTAGTTATTCTGTCGAAAAAGCGGGGTAAAATCAACCAGCTTTAATATAATCATGAGCATGACGCGCCGCAAAGCTTACATTGATATTTTTATTAAAAAACGTGTCCCAAAGACATTTTTATCCGACTTCATTATAAAAGAGGTTGTAAATTCGGCTTTATGTTTTTTTTCTCAACTTTGTTGTGAGTTATTATTTCGCAAAGTATACAAATTCATGCCTGGAATCGCTTCAAAGCGATCTGCATTTGTTTTTGGTACCCACAAAGTAAACTCCATATTTTTAGACTAATAAACGACTAGTTGCGCATTCAAGGTACCTATCTCGACAATAAAATACAGCCCAAAGCACTACATAGGTTATCGTTTATCAATGCTATATTACAGTATTTGATGGTCAATGTAAAATTATCTAGAAAGTTAGACATACTACATAAATTCATTTTTTTTATAGGTATTAATTGGCTCCGAGCCAGTAGCAGCGCGACAGTCGCCGCGTCGCGGGTCGCGAAATACTGCTCTTGAACAATATTTGAGGCAATCCTCAAATAAAGCTTGAAACTAGTCAAGTTTCTAGTGACGTGAATAAGCCGAAAACATACTAATTATTCTGGTATATTGAAAAAACAAAAAATATGTAAATACAGAATTTCAATAATAGAGGAAAGTGACCAAATATGGAATAGTATCCCTAATATGGAATACCGGCAATACTAAGAAACTACCTCTATAATTCACACACGCAAGAAACACTGTTTGTCTCTTTGTTTCTATCCCCATCTGCGGGTACAGGCTGTGACATATCAGTCGAGTGAGCTCCTTTCGTCAATATTGCAGTGTTTTGTTTTGCCGCTTCTGCATAACATTCTAACGTATGTGAGAGATACGCATTTTTCGTTTAAAAAATGCACATCGTATTGTTTTTATAACGTTTAGAGACAGTTTAGATGTTCTTTTGTCGATTTCGGTGGTATTTAATTGTATTTATTTCTTAAACATAAATATATTAATGTCAGTTTAAAGTCGTTGCAAAATCCAATTATGGACTGGTCCATCGTTTTGTTTGATACAGACAGTGAGCCCGATGCTTTGATAGGAAATACAACTCCAGACTCTGAAGATTCGGAGCGTATTTTCTGTGGTATTCTGTTTTCACATGATACTCATAGAGAGTACTCATAGAGAAGAGAGAGACCCATGGTCAAGTGCCTCATATGTGGACTCTGGGCACATATTGATTGCCCCGGAGCAGAGATTTGTGACTTTTGCAAATACGTTGTGTTCTTTTCTATGTTGTACCAACCTTTCTAAAGAGTTTTATTTAAGTTCCGGTTTAGTTTTAATCGTATTAATAGTACCTACTTATTCCATATTTGGGGTACCTATTCCAAATTTAGGTACCTTTATTGTCGTTTAGTTTTTTTTTTAATTTTTGACTCAAAAGTAATAAAAGTATGCAATTCTTGTTACAAAATAAAGCGAAAATATATAATTGTTGTAATTACCACAAAAAGTTTTATTATTTGCAACGTTTGTGAAAATTATGCGTAAGAAACAAAATGGTATTCCATATTTGGTCACTTTCCTCTACAATTTACGTCGGTCCATCAAATATGAAAAAAAAGTACGTATGCTTGTGCAATTAAGTTGAACACCGATAACTTTATTTAACAGACAATGCGTTGGCAACTATTTTGTCCAATCCTTAGACAACAACTGTATGAAATAGCTCTATATAGTTTTCTAAAAGACTCAAATGAACACAAATTTAGAAAAAAAAATATAAGGCATCTGGAATTTGGCCTTTTAGCTTGATAGTGCCATCAATTTCGAAAATATCTATTTAGGCCGCCATGGAGAATTAATAACTCTCGGACTTCCATATTCGTTTTCACTCCTAAATTTTAAGGAACCCCTAAACTAAGATACGTAGCATTTTGGTTTCCATCAACTTATAAGTCACACCTAACAGTACAAGTAAGGGGTTAATGTAGAAGCTAAGTCATCATAAGTAACTTTTAGTTAAGAGAGGGTTGCTGAACACGGCCATTAGACATTATGAAAATTGCATTGAATTTGAGTAATCTACTTAAAAAATTAAAACATGCTACGCAAGTCATTATTAAATACTATACAAAAACAAACAAATTTATTGTTTGCCGTTACAATACAAAGAAAATTGCCATGCAAAAAAAACCTCAAACACATAGACAAAAAAAATATTATAGAAACAAGAAAATATGCAGATAACAATCATAATTATCAGCCTTTAAATGCCCTCCGCTGACCAAAGGGTTCATCTCGCATGAAGAAGATTTGAGCATTAATCACCACGCTTGCTCTATGTGGGATGGCGATTACAAAAAATAATAATTAGAAATGATAAGTCCAGGTTTCTTCACGATGTTTTCCTTCACCGTTTGTCAGTGGTATCTATATAATCTTAGATAGATAACAATATTCTTTATTTAAACTTTAACGGAGTTTATAATTTGTATGGTTATCTTGATATATTGGCGGCCCAGTTATTCATCATGCATCACATTTTTTATTATTTATTCGCCCTTGCAACACCGGTCACTCCCTACTCATGTCCCTCTCTTAATCCGTCCTTTGTGACCACCCTTCCTCTTTATAAACTTTAATCCTTTATAACCCTCTCTGTCATCGCATTCACTCTTTCATCAATGATATTTATTAATTATGACTCACATTATTTCATTCCCCAATTACATCTATTTCCCATAGCCAAAGTAAAATACAACATATTTACCAACCTATTTTTTAATCGCAAACTTTGTCGACTTGAAAAAAATATAAAAGTTGTCTTTGAAAAAAAATATTGTCAATTTTTAGCGCGCCATACTCATTAAATTTATACTTCGAATTCGAACTTACTGTTTGAAATTTTAATCTCATACCTAATTTCATCTTTTATTTCATGTCTTATCTTCTCATTACAACTTTAATATTACTTTTCACGCTTTGCAAATTATAGCCCTCATACACACAGAATTAGGGATGTCTCTTTTATAATTATATTCTCAAGTAATTTGTTTATTGTCTGCATAACTAATAAAATACTTACCTATACACAAAAACACACAAAGTACGAGCCATTTCATACAGAGCCTTAATTAAAAACTACGATATCGCTTAGGCATAAAATTAAATGTTTTTAAATCTACAATTTTGGTGTCACGGAGAAGTAAGCAAATGGACGAATCAATAATGGATGATTTGTAAAACGTCTATTGACTTCGTACTATGATAAAGTTAAAACAATGGATGAAAGAAATATATTGCATCAGCATGATTGTAATAAGCCAATAAATGTTTCACATCCCACGCAACTGACTGTTGTCTTTGATTTACGTAAAAAAAAACCAAACTTATCATAGACTACTGCTTACTACTACGCGCTAAGATTAGCTGCCGCATGCATAATCTGCTAAGCTAAGCAACACTAAACCTTAGAAACATCGAATTTCATAAATAAAGAAATGATGTTAACGTGTTTCATCAAGGAATTAATTTTTTTAAATATTTTCCTAGCCTGCCGTTCTTTGATTTGTAATATTCTAATCTCTTTGTGTTGAAGTTCAATTATTGCAGAAGCTTTATCCATTTCAGACATTTTTCCAGCTGCAAGCCGCTTTTGAATTTTTTTAGCTTTCCTCACTTCAGATCGAGCTACGGCAAGGGCCTACAACAAATTTGAAAGATTATGCTGAGCAATAGTTTAGTGAGAAGCAATGGCGCGAACTCTGAACTAGGACAGGAATGGAGATTTGTACACAAAGTCGGACACGTTATTATTTTAAATGCATGAGGCGTGGGACGGAAGAAACTTCGCATAATGAATGATATATTGAAGCTGAACAGTTTGTTTGTTTGAGCGCACTAATCTCAGGAACTACTAGCTCGATTTGAAAAATTATTTTTGTGTTGAATAGTCCATTTATCGAGGAAGGCTACAGGCTATCAAACATCACGCTACAATCTATAGGCGCCGAGCAGAGTGGGTGAAATCGCGCGGAAGTAGCTAATAAATGATAAACTAACACGGAAGTAAAAAAGTTTTAAAGAAATACCAGCGTCAGTACAATACATGTTGAACATATTGAACAATGCTTACTCCGTTTACTTACTAATCCGTGGTCACTCAAATGAGCAAAAAATATCAGTACATTTTCCGCAATACTAATTTCAAGCATACAAATTAAACTAGAAACTAGCTTTTGTTTATTCCAAGCGTTAATTAGCCAAGCATGGTTCTCCCATAGTTTACCTATACGACAGGTAAATATAGCATGTACGTAGACTTGAGGGTAAACGAACGGACCCACTAGCGTTTTTTCTTTTTAATTTCTGGATAAACATTTTCTAATAGGTACAAGTATTTTATTAATTGGTATTATGTATGTCACATAAAGTTATAGGGCGTTCGTAAAAAAAAAGAAATGCTAGTGGCTCTGTCTCTTTGCTCCCACGTCTATATTAAAAATGATATGCCTTGTGGTTCTGTCGTTGCGATCGGCTCTCGCGACCGACGCTGCGAGGTAGATGGGCGACTCCTTCGCCTGGACCTTCTCGCCTTTTTCTGTAAAACCGCGTTCGAATTACGCTCAGCATTCGTTGTATGGGACAATATCCACGAACAAGATAACCCAACCAAATACTACTTCAAAAGAATCCCTTTACGTAATATAAATATCCTCAAAATACATACTGTGTTCAGTACTAAAAGTATCAATTTGGAATTTAGTCCTCCAGTTAATATTAAGCAGGCTGAGTATCGCACCTTGTTTGTCCAATGCAAACCATAGAACTTTAAACACGACCAGACTAGACAAAATGAAATATGGGTACTCTATAGTCATTTAAAAGTCTCAACAATAGACAGAAATTTTACAAAATCCGGGTAAATTTCATATAAAGGGCATTCTTCAGTTTATTTCCTATATAATAATAATAAAATATATTACTATGAAAACGCAGAAAACCTACGACAAACCCTCAATAACGAAATCATAATAAGTTCCGATAATAAAAACACATTTTCTATTCCATTCTATTTCTAAAACACAAAACTATGGATTTTTTTGTTTTTTTTTCGTCCCACGCGCCATTCAATAGAATGTCCGATTTTTAGCTACAAACACACCACACACCACTCCAAAAAAAGAACGTTTAATTATTTTTAGTCTATCTGATGTATGCACGTGTCATGTTATTGAATCTCTGTTCGAAGCATTTAATTAGTCTGGTTCACCCTCATAGCCAGACGGGGCGTTGCCAGGGGATCGGAAGGGGATGATGTACTAGGTACATGTTTTCATTTCGAGAGGGCAGGTAATGAATTTATATTCGTATAAGTATCCCAGCTTCTGTTTTGCTTTTTAACAGGATATCAATGTTCTATGAAAAAACTGTTAAACAAGTGCAAGTCAACAGATAATATCAGAAAAATAATTAAATAAATATCTATTACAAGTAAATCGACCCACATTCATTTATTTATTATAAAAAATGATTTAAAAAAATGTAGTTACATTACATTGCAACACCAAATAAATAAAAAAAAATGTTTAGTTACAAACGTCAAACTTGTCAAAGTAATTTCGCGCCATTGTTTCTCCGCTCATCTTGTCTATGGTAATACATTGCAGACTTACCTTCTTGCAGATCTTACGTCGACTCATTAGCTTCTTAATTTCCTTCTTTAATTCCATATTATTTCGTGGAGTTGAAGGTCGGGGTGATGGTAAACCTTGCATATGGCGTCTTAAGTCGAATACTGGACTTTCAGCCCGATTCCCAAGCAGTGGAGTGTGAGGTGAACTTGACGGAGGACTTGGGTTTATTGACGACTGGAAATGGTGTTGATATAATATGGAATTTACTTTTTTAAGCATAGTTATTGAGTTTTTGTCGCAGGTTTTTGTAAAAGGAGGTTGAGTGTTTGTGGTTTAGTTGATGTATAAAGTTCTTACCGCTCGCCCTCGGAATTTTTCCTCAAAGCTGCTAGAATCAGCTTCAGCAGACGAACGCCGATCAAGCACCGGGCTCGGTGTGGGGGGAGCAAAGAAGCTTTCCGGCTAAATAGAAAATGTACCTTAATGTACATAATAATAATAATAATTTCATGTTCTTCCAGAAAGTGAACTTTTATTATAAACTTGTTGTTACCAACGGTTTTCTCTACGTAGTCAAAGAAAAAACAGTATCCTATTTATTTAATTCATCACTTTTTAAACTCTAGCTGAGACTGTCAAAAAAATAAAAAAAAATCAAAAGACTCAATAATACTTTACTCAATTTCTGCCTCTTCAGAGAAGAATAGGTGTCATGTTATGTATCACTTGTACATTAATTTCACCCGAGGATCGAACCCGAAAGGTCATTACGACCACTTCGTCTACACTTCTACATCACTACAAAAACAAAAAAGATAAATTAAAACTCATTAACGATCAACTAGTAGTTAATTGTGGGAGAGCCATGCTTCGGCACGAATGGGCCGGCTCGACCGGAGTGATACCACGGCCTCACAGAAAACCGACGTGAAACAAAGCTTGCATTGTGTTTCGTCGTGTAAGTAACCTAACTCACTGGAGTCTCCATTTCCCCCCCCCCCCCCTTCCCCAATCCCTGAATCCCCAACAATCCTAAAGTTCCTAATCCCAAAAGGCCGGTACCGCACTTGTAACGCCTTTAGTGTTCCAGGTGTCCATGGGCGAAGCCGATTTCTTACCATCAGGTGATCCGTCTACTCGTTTACCGGCTTATACCGTAAAAAAAGCCTATAAGTAGTTATATGTATTATCTGTCAGTCATAATCAGTACTAAAGAAGAATTTAAGCAATCTTTCAGTGTCTCAGAGTACGGTAGTAGAGGTTGTTAACAAAAACAAATGACTAATATCCTACATATTCATATTCCCGAAGGGCAAAGGTGCACAGTATGCCACTGTACAATGCAACACTTTTCACTATTTATGTTATGAGTCCCATGTATAGAGGGTGAGCCTATTGCCATATACCGAGCACAATTCCAGACTCCGTGCTACCAATGAGATTTTTTTTAAAATCCAGTCATACTTTGCCTATCGACAATCGAACCCGAGACCCCTTGCCCGGCAGTCGCACTTGCGACCATTCGGCCAACGAGACAGTCTATGACTAATAACCTATTAGGGAAAAACTAAGGGTTGTAGATAAGCTACCAATGTCGCATTAAAGATTCAATTGCATCGATCGACTGGCCAATTAAATGACTCAAGGGGAACTGCAGTCACTTGTCAGTAACTACAGTATTATACATAGGTACATTGTAAATGTCTTCAAATGCTTTCAAGGAACACTGTTTTATTCATAGACCAATTTAAGTCGGGTTTCAACGATCAATACTGTTTTTTTTTATTGATTTGTATTTGTAACATAACATCACGCCTTTTATCCCCGAAGGGGTAGGCAGAGTTTGCGCATTACGGCACTTGATGCCACTGTACAATGCAACACTCACTTTTGACTATTTATGTTATGAGTGCCATGTAATAGGGGGTGAGCTATTGCCATATACCGGACACAATTCCAGACTTGGTGCTACTACTGAGAACTTTTTAAAACCCAATAATACTTTGCACGACCCGGGAATCGAACGCGAGACCCCTTGCCCAGCAGTCGCACTTGCGACCACTCGTCAACGAGGCAGTCAAGCAGTTTATTGATTAGTATGTAAGCGATAAGTTTTGTTTTTGACGTGTTGTGATAATAGAGTAAAATACATATTTTAAAACCACTGCTCGTTCCGTGGGTATAGTAAAATAAATATTAAACAAAGACTAAGTAGCAGCGCTATCTAATGAAGACAAGGCCTATAGTCCAGTAGCGGACTGCTGATTGCCAAGAACTGTATAATAAATGTAAGAGCTATGGATTACCATGATATTTTATATAATTTTACAACCCTAATTATAGGGCTGTAAAGCACCTTTTCGACCAGTGCTTCCCTTGGAAACAACTAACCTTGAAACGTTGAAGTTTGTTAGACAGATTGAATCCATTTTTAAGTCTTTGACTGCCGATAGACAACTGTTGAAGGCAAATACATCGCTAACGTAGATCACCGGTGACCTACGTGGCGGTTAACGTGACTAGACAATTTGTAATATACTCAAAAATATGTCAAGTTACTACTACAACTTTGTTATGAGTGAAACAAGTGATTTTTTTTCTGCAAATAGGTTACAAGGCATCACTTTTACACGTCAATTTTATCAAGCGAACGATGAGGTCGACATTACCTAACTGACTACTCTGAGAGGAAATGCTGAAACAAACTAATTTGTTTAAAAACAAATGTTAACGTTATATAATTATTGTGTGGGAAACACCTCTACATAACATAACACCTTTAATTCCCAAATAGAACAGGCAGACCTGATTACTAACTCCTTAAAAAATCATCATCCATCTTCTTAATCCACTAACCTGGAACGCCGTCCAAGCAGCGAGATCATTCTCGTTGCAGTCAATGTCCAAGTCTTCGGAGAATGTGGTGTCGGCTTCCTGGATCGGAAGGGAGAGATCAGGGGAGGAGTCGCGGCTAAACTGCGGTAAAGGCTCGTCGCGTGCCACTGCCTCCCTGTTTACTCCTCGAGAGGTGCTTGGGATGTCTTCAATGGGCTGTAAAAGGGTATGATATTAGTTTAAGAAGGGAATGTGGTAGGATTACATATGGTATGATATGGTTGTAGGGATTGGAGCAATACTTTCACAGAGTCTTCCTCGCGGAAACCGATGGTGGAATTAAACAGGTTCCTAAAACTCATACTGGTCTGTCGTCAATTAAAATTTGAGTATTGCACTTTTAAATTTAAAAAAATACAACCATTTAGCTATGTATACCGAGAGAAAACTTTACAAACGAACTTGTACCCATTAATTTATCTTGGCACTTCATAAGCTACCGATGACACCGAACGATCAAGAAAGAATAAAACGTTAAAGCAAATACATAATATCTTAATAAAGAAAACAACGCGAAAATTTAACGTCGACATTTAAATAACTTTAGCAAGAAAATATTTTTTCACGCCTAAATACCTTTCAAAAGAAATGTTGAATGTTATTGGAATGTGTCAAAAAAGGATTAGACAAAATATTTCAAGTTAATTTTGTGATCATTCTTAACGCTGAAAAATGTGACTGAGAATTTGAAAAACTCTAATATTAATTAAGAAGGAATTTTTCGTCATTTTATATTGGTATTTTCTTAGCTATTTTAACAATAAATAAGCATAAGTACTACTCAGGGTGTAAATGGCACGCTCCGGAAAAACGTTGACATAAAAAAATTGTTTTAACAATTTTAATCATTTATTCGTGAAACATCAGCCTTGAGCAGTTAATTACAACGATTTAAAATATTTAATTCCTTACTTTAACAATAACAAAATTTGTTTTTGACTATCAACTGTCAGTTTTCGGGAGCGATCCGTTCCGTTCTGTATAATATTTAACGACTATTATTATGACGCAATATATTAAACAATATTTAAAGAAATCTATCGTTTTTGATGTAAGTATATTTCGAAAATAAAACAGATTTTAACTAGCTGGTAAGAGCTACCAGAGCTTTACAGAGGTAAAGCATAGTATATTTATAATTTTAATTTTGTGTAATTTAATTCTAATTACCTTTCCTAACTTTTAGGTTTCTGTAAGTGATGGATAAGCTCTGTCGGCCCTATCTGTCTGCTGTTTTTAAAAATGTTACTAATCTATATCTATACTAATATAATAAAGAGGAAAGATTTGTACCTATTTTTGTATGTTTGTAATGAATAGGCTCAAAAAGGACCGATTTAAAAAATTCTTTCACCAATAGAATGCTCCATTCTTCCAATTTGACATAGGCTACATTTTATTTTGAAAAGAAAAAATTGTCTACCCCTTGCGAAGCCGGGACGGGCTGCTAGTCTACTATACATTTAAAACTATAAAACTTTAAAACTAGTTGACAAATACTATTTTATGTTTTTTATACTCATCACGCCTTTTATTCCCGACGGCAGAGGCAGAGGTGCACATTACGGCACCCAATGGTACTGTACAATATAACATCCACTTTTTACTATTTATGTTATAAGTACACTCTAATGATGGTGGAGTAGATATTTCTTTTATAATATACTAACGACCCGCAATGCAATATGCATGCATTATACATATAAACCTTCTTTAAGAATCACTCTATCTATTAAAATAAACCGCATCAAAATCCGTTGCGTAGTTTTAGAGGTACAATATAACATCCACTTTTTACTATTTATGTTATAAGTACCATCTAATGATGGTGGAGTAGATATTTCTTTTATAATATACTAGCGACCCGCCCCGGCTTCGCACGGGTGCAATATGCATGTATTATACATATAAACCTTCCTTAAGAATCACTCTATCTATTAAAATAAACCGTATCAAAATCCGTTGCGTAGTTTTAAAGATCTAAGCATACATAGGGACAGGCAGACGGCGGATAGCGACTTTGTAGTGATTTTTTTTAAATACTTACTTTATTGCACTTTCAAAAATTAAGGAAAGTACCCAATGTTTTATTACGAAAATATATACATACACGTCAATTTGAGAACGATTTTCCGACGGCCTATATTTCAATTAAGATCAGCTTGATTTAAAACATGCTTAATAAATGCACTTTCGAAGCAAAATTTAATAAACTTACTAGCATTACTTTTTTAAAAAGATTCCTTTATATATTAATTTCCTCCCGAGTTACTTTAGCAGCACTTCTTTCAGACACAAATTCACGTATTAACACAAAATGCACTGTCACAAAATTGAAATCACTACAACAGTTTTCAAAAATGCACGAAAAATTGTATTAATATTTCAAATTACTTAATTAATATTGGCACTTAATATTGAATTATTATGTTAAAAGTACGCGGTGTTTCCCAACTTGATACAGACAGAGAATGTCCAGACGAGACATGGTGAACCCAAGTACGGACAATTTTGATTTACGTCTGTGTGTGTATTGTAAATAGAGGAGTTCTTATTTCGATAGGGGAGAGATGAATCGCAATTCGCGAGGTCAATTTTATTCAATATAAGTAGCCATTGCTTGTTTATGGTACTGTATAGAAAGTTTTTAATATTGACCAGTGTAAAGGGTGTTTATTTTTATTATTGTTCGTTTGTTTGTTTATTTCAGTTCTGTATTTTAAATTTTATTTCTAAGTTATTTGTTCTTAATATAATAACATAGGTACTAAGCAAAAAAATGGCAGAATTTATTGTGCAAACAAGACAGTATTGTTAGCTATTTTAAATCTAAAAATGGGAAAGAAAAGATGCACATTTAAAAAAAATATAAATCGATATAAAAAAGAAGTAGACAACTACCATCCATTAAGAAGAAACCGTAGATAGTAGAACCTAGATAAAACATTAAAAAATCAAAACTAGACTTCTCAAGTCCACCAATCATGATCGATGGTCATCTCCACCTCCTTAAAAACCTATAAATGATAGAAAACGCAAACAAGCATACGAACAAACACGTATAAACTGAGAGGCCACTGATCTATGACCCATCCTCTATCCCCACACCCCCACTTCTTCAAAATACCGACAACACAATTGTTGATGTTGCAGAAGTCCACGGACTGCACTGATTGCTTACCATTAGATGTTCCATCTGCTTCTTTGCCGACCTATTCCATAAAAAAGCATACAGTCTCTTTATATACTTCTTTAGCTTCCATCACATTCAGGCATAGAGTCATACATGACTGCATACACACGAGGACTTACCGGCAGGTCACGGTAGACGACATACTCGCAGGGAATCGCAGCAGTCTTCAGATAACGGTTGCCTGAACGCTTGATGAAGTAATCAGTGTCTCTGAAGTGCTTAGAGCAGATATAATCGTTCCTTGTGGGGGTCCAGTCGTCACGACCGGTCATATCAATCCACTTCTCTCTTATTTCTTCATTGGCTGGGAACCTACAATAAAAATTTAAGTTATTTCATACTCATTAAGGTTCAAGTTTGTTCAACGATCAGAAGGTGACGTAGAAGACGTTTTATTCCAGTAAATTAAGCTCTAGTCTTTACTAATAGAGACTATATTTAACCATTAACTAATTCAACGTAAACAACAATCGATTAAGTTATTAATATCACATACAAAATCGTACAAGGCACGCCTTTCAATTTCTCGTAGCAGTTGCTACGCACGCCTACGCCGCCCTCTACGACGCTACGCCGCGACTACGCACTACGTAGCTAAAGACCGTTATAATTGAATTTTTTGTCTCGTTTATTGGAAAAATTGATGAGGAAAATTAATAATGAACCCTATTACAGCGCATGTCATAGTATTAAAATAGAATTCATGAGATAGCAATCAATAAAGGTGATTTTTCTACCACCTTGATGTCGCCATTTTTGTCTAAAAGAGGATCTGTCTACAAGCATGCGCAGTGAGAGATCTCTTTGTTCTCAACGATGTTTCTAGAAACATGGTTATAGCAACATTTAAGTATGACCTCGTGGTTGTAGGACAAAGGAAATTCTGGGAAAATTTTAGCCAAAGATGTTTACGCGAGAGATAAGGCATTTAATATAATTTTGTGCACAATTCTAATAACATTTCACTAAAACTTTTCAAATAAAACGACCTTCGAACTGAAAAGGAAATGTTGCGCAATACGATTTCCTTTACAACTACGTAAGATGATTTTTAACTCGAAAATTAGCGCCCTTTACACAAAAATATCATTTTAAAACCACTATTTATCTCAAATACCATTATATAAATCATCGATATTTCACTAAAACAAATCATCGGAGCTCCTCTAACGGACTTCGCTTACCGCAGGACGATCGCCAAGCCACGACATTATCGCACAACACATAATACATTGCCGCTTTTGAGAGCACGACGAACATGGAGGCCTTACATAACGCACAATGTAAAGTAACCATAATGCAACAGTTGAAAAATCACAAAATTGTTAAAAATCTAAAATGTCCACTAATAATTTATATTAATTTAAGTAATATAGTATTAAAAACTTACGGATGGAAGGTGAGTCGTGAAGAGGAACCGCTCGGGCAGTCTGACCTTGATTTACATGTCAGTACAGCACAGAGCGGCATGACTGACTCCTTGCTCCGCGACGGAACGCTGCACTCGGGCCCCGACCAACTATGCGAGCATGCGCTTATGGCGATCGATATGTGTATGACCAATAGCCGTTATGCGCACCACCTCTCTGCCGGCAGAATCTATTTTTAGCTTATTCTAGGTCCTGGGAAAACAGGAAAGCAATTATTTATCAATACTATGCATCTTCGTGTCTCACTCAGACGGAACACGACGCCATGATGCGCTGATGTACTACATAGGTACCCATATATCTCTACAGCGGCTCCGATATGAAAATTAGTTCACATTATCCTGATTTCAGCTGTTTATTCGGCTGAAAATTATAGTTTTTTGTATTGAAAATTGTTTAATTGGTTTTGGATGTCAGTCTATAACTTTGTGTGTTTTTAATACGTATTGTTATGCGTATTGTATTAATAATATATGTACCTATTCTTTTAGATAATGTTCGTTCATTAATAGTTGTTTAATGTTAAAGTTTGCCTCAGATTCTTTTGATAAAAACTACAAATAATAAATTTATTTTCTTATGTATTATGAATTACGTAACTTATAATTTATGAGCAAACTATTTTGGAATTGGTCTACCTTGCAATTGTGATTGTGATTTCTATGTAGTCAATACCACATTTTTTAAAATAATAAGTATACTTGTCCTTTGTTTTTGGAAAATAAAAGTTATTCTATTCTATTTATCTTTAACAAATTAGGCTTAGAAAAACTTATTTAACTCGTTGAGTACCGTCATTATAGACACAATTAAAGAACAATAGGTTGCGGTCACCGGTGACCGCTCGGTGTTTGACAGTTTAAGACCTGAAAAGCTACAATTACTAATTTAAAGAGTTATGATAATTATGTTTACAATATTACTAGGTACATAGTTTTGAGACATATACACTGTGAATTCTATTTTATTTTCGTCTTGCGGCAAAACAATTTGTCATTAGGAGTACTATCGATATTTAAAGTAAAAAAAATACGTAATTTTTTTTAGTTTAAAAAATATTCCTGGAAATACGCACATGAAACACTAGACGTAAATTTGTAAACACGAAAAATACCTCTTCGAGAATTACATAGCGTGATGTTTTGATAATGTACTATGAATTCGTATGCGCTTTCAAAGTTCGTTTTTCGCAATGGTTCACCAGGTATTTTTTGTTTTAAATATTTTATTTGTTTGTAAAACTATTGTATTAACGAGACATAACCAATTTACTTCGTGACGAAAACGAAACAAATTTCACAGTGTATCTTTAACTTTAAATGAGTAGAAGAACCATAAGTACACAAAGCACCACTAATTAGGTCGAGGCGCTACACATCGACATTACTATCATTTACACAGTGAACATGTGTGGGTAATTTCATATTAATAGATATGTATAGAAACATTCGTTCTATCACACACATCTTGGTATCACATATCATTTTTGTGTCGGTATACGTAATATTTTAGTAAATAAGTTTAAATAAAAACGAGGGTAAAGATAAAAATACTCATAACAAACTTTGAATAAATCGAAATCAAAAATAATGAACGATCGAGCAATACAATACTTATATAAATATAGTGCATTCTCATTGTATTTTTATGTTACTGAATGATATACAATATTTCGATGTTCTGCAATGGTTATCGCCTCCAGTGGTCAAGTAAAGTGCCACCGGATCGATTCCAGCATTCACATGTTGTTTTAGTATTAATTAATCAAATATTTGAAATGTGAAATTAGAAACAATTAAATCTTTTCTTTTTTTCCTATCCTATTTTTCTAAATCTTATGTTAATTTTAATAGTAAATACTTTAGATTTATTTATACCTATAATATCCTTTATTTATATTTTAGTTCTAGTTATTTATTATTTAGAATAATTTAGAATGATTGGAAGAACTTTAAAGTTAACATGTGGTATATAATTAATTATTAGATATAAATATTGAATATAAAACCACATATTTGTATAATTAATAAATTAATTTTAATAAAAAATAGTATTGTTTTATTTACCGACTGATTTGCTTCTTTTATAGCCTGATATTTATATTATATGACAAAAAACAAAAAAAAAAATAAGAAAAACAACAAGGTAAAATAAAAAAAAACTTTTAGTTGGAATAGAACCCACATCATCATTGATTCTTGAAAGACGATAAAAGCGTACTCATTAACCAATCGACCACGAGCACTACGATAATTACAGTGAAAATGTCGGGTCATATCAATTTTTCATTAAATTATAAAAATACGTATACCGACACAAGAATGAAAATACCAATGTGAACGTGGTGGACGAATATTTTTATACACAGTAATATGAAATTACCCACACATGTACATTGTGTAAATGACAGTAGTGTCGATGTGAGCGTTACGAACTAATTAGCGGTGCTTTGTGTACATAGGGTGCTACGTTTCAGAGAATTCGACTTTATTATAAACAGGACAGTCGAAGGCAGATATTAGATTTTTTTTAATTTGAATGTGAAGCCTTATTTTGCTGATATCAACTAATTAGGTATGCTTTTAACCGTATCAAAGAATATTGGAATATAAATTATGAAAACAAAATATTGATAGGAAATCTTTCGAGATGAGGTACCTACTAACAAAGTATAAGGTACTTACTAATGCTGCTTACTAAATACTTAAACTGTACAGTTGGCGCGGTAACTGGGCAACTGGCTACCGTGCAATATGATGCGGATTCGATTTTTTTTAATGGCATAAGCCGGTAAATCACCTGATTACCTGATCACCTGATGGTAAGCAATCGGCGTCACCCATGGACACCTCGAACCAGCGTTACCGGACTTTTGGGGATTAGGAGTTTGAGGATCTTTGAGCAACCCTTTGTGTGATCCACAAATTGTTGTTTTAGGTCTGGGTGTCATGTGTATGTGAAATTCGATGTTTTTAAACGCACCCACCGGTACAGGAGACAATACTAATGTGGGGCAACATTTTTTACAAGAAAAAAAGTATTTCCCGAATACTGAAAGGCTACCTACTTAATTTTAAATTGTACTTAAATATCCCGCCATCTCTGTCATTATAAAAAGAATGTGGAGTGACAGAACTGTAGTCTTCTTAAAGGGGGTAAAATCATCTAATGGCTTCTCCCGCCTACGTGAGGTGAGAGGGAGTGTCAGACTCTTACTGACTAAAAACCACCCCGTTCCTACTCCTGCACTTCGAGTCAGAGCCCCGGCAACCCGTTAAGTCTTCCGTGGCTCTGTATGCGCATCAGCCCTGTTGAGCCCCATCTGTGGTGGTCTGAAGTCAGAACTATACTTAAGCGCGTATTAAAATTGAGTTGCGTTGAATTATTTGGACATAAGATAAGATCAATAAGGTAAGATGAGGGACTAAGACAATATGATGAAATCGGCGCCGCGACTGAAGTTATCACTCTCAGGTCACGGCATTTTAGCTTAGCACTTGGTCTTTTTACGCCGTGTACACTTTTATCATTAACTAACTTCTGCCCGCGACTTCGTCCGTCGCAATCTCCTGACAATAACAAATACAACAAAAAAAAATCAGAGCAAAATCGGTCAAGCCGTTCTAAAGTTATGGCGTGACAACGGGAAAAGGATTTCATTTTTATATATATATATAAATTATTGTTGTAACTATTCTTCTTGTTTTAATTTTTATAATGTGAATAAACAAATTCTATTTCTTTCTATCTTTCATGAAACTTATACTTACTCCATTATAATTGACATCATGATCGTCGTGTCAGCCACAGAACGTCCATAGCCTCACGAAGACTTGAGACTTCCAGGTCGGTTGGTTAAAAACGACACAGGTTTTGTACCTTTAATAAACAAAAAACAAGATTAAGTAGATGCATAAACTTTTTATAGGATGAGCCGGTAAACAACCAGACTGATCACCTGATGGTAAGCAATCGGCGTCGCCCATGGACACTCGGAACACCAGAGGCATTACAAGTGCGTTACGGGCCTTTTGGGGATTAAGAATTTGAGGAATGTTGGGTATTTAGAGATTGGGGAAGGAGGGAAGGGGGGAAGTGGTAGTTGAGTAGTTGGTAACTTTAATTTACAGAGCGGATATTAATGGGGTCGTCGGTAGAGGGCGCCCCAGATGGACATAAATATCGACCAGATTGGCAATATATTAAAGAAGGGCTAAATTAAAAGTACCCTTAACCGACAAGTATGTATACATGAAAAGACTGATGACTGCAGAGGAAGCGAAATAGGTATGTAAGAATGGTAGCAATTGGCGCCTTTGCTTACCCCAAAGGAGACAGGCGTGAGGTTATGTACTATGTATGTCAACAACTTTGACTGCACGGTTGGTGTGGTGGCTGATTCGGCTGCCGTGCAACGTGTCGCGGGTTCGATTCCCGCACGGAACAACACTTTGTGTGATCCACAAATTGTTGTTTCAGGTCTGGGTGTCATTGTGTATGTGAACTAGTATGATTGTAAACGCACCCACGACATAGTAGAAAGTCCCAGTGCACCTCTGCCTACCCCTTCGGGGATAAAAGGTGTGATGTTATGTTATGTTAATATTACAGTCACTTAATGTACGTCACTTAAACTGTCAAACACCAAGAGGTCACCGGTGACCGCAACCTATTGTTCTATAATTGTCGCGGAGAACCTAACGGGTAACCGGGGCTCCAGCTCGACGTGCAGGAGAAGGAACGGGGTGGTTTTTAGTCAGTAAGAGTCTGACACTCCCTCCCGCCTCACCCAGGCGGGAGCAGTCATTCGATGATTTTCCCCCCTTAAAAAAAAAAAAATAAAAAAAATAAAAAATGTTCTATAATTGTGCCTACAAAACCGGTACTCGACGAGTTAAAGAAAATAAGTGGTTCGTTTAAATGTCAGAGTATACGCTTTTACAATAAAATTCCCAGCAATATCCAAACTTTGAGTTTAAATAAATTTAAAAATGTCATTAAAGATAAACTTTATAGTAAAGCTTTTTATAAAATAAAAGACTACCTAGATGATAGTCGGGCTTGGGAATAAGCTGCTGTAACGTCCACACAGGTCATGTCGACATGTTTGTAACATATCGTTACATTTTTTTTTATATATACAATTTGACATTATT